TGGGGAGTGTGCAATCAAAAAGTTTTAAACCATTTTCAGGCCTTTGAGAACCACGAGTCCGTCGAAACGTTGGCGAGAAAAAAAATTTCCACCTAACGACCTCGAGGCAGGAGCAAAATTAATAGCTTCAAGAACAACAGAAATTGCATACAGATTTTGGCGGGGTCTACAAAGTGAGTTTCCCACTGGCAGTGATTGGAGTGTAAGTTTTATGTGAGAGGTACATACTTACCAAGCAAAAGGTACTTTAACCTCTGAGAGAAAGCAAGGTCTATGTGAATCTGTGAAATAAAGAAGAAAGTCTTCTGGCGTTGATCAATCTCGTCATCTGCTCCCCGAATACAGTTCAGCATCGTAGTGGGGTATTGAATGAATATGTGGTCCATACAATGACTTTTGATGGTCAGCAGATGTATTATACAAGTCTGTGCTTGCATCCTCCCAGACGAGTAACGTACCATGGAGGGACGAGAGACTTGGTTGGCCTGGGTACGAGATTCAAACCTGTGACCATGCATATGTGAAAATACGTCACCTGCCACTACACCTCTTTCGCCCTAAATACGTGTAATGCTGAAGCGAATAAGAAAGGCCAAACCTATTCTGAACAGATAAAATGTGATTCAGGTAGCTCCATTTGTGATGACAAAACGCGAGTGCGCACAGCCAAACAATCGAACCGAGTGTGAGGGCAATAACAAGTACGAAGGATACTGCATTGATCTGTTGAAACTGTTGGCCGATCGAATCGAAGGCTTCAACTTCGAGGTCTATCTGGGTGAGAAGACCGGTTCGAAACTACCCGATGGCAGTTGGGATGGCATGATGGGTGATCTACTTACTGGAAAAGCTGATGTCGCTGTCGCTTCACTCACCATCAACCAGGTCAGTCATTGTGACAATTTATGTATTAAGTAGATATTGTTGCGTAATACTCGACGACTTGAAGTTATTAGGCATGAGATTCCCGCTTATATTGACTACTAGTGCAAGGAAAAGTATGCACGCCTACCGCCAGAAAAGAGGTGAATGGCTCTAATAGGAAAAAGATTTTTACACCAAAAGCATGGCTAATGTGGTAGCGAACAAGCGAAAGTAGTGTAGTGCTCGCCCCTGATACCACAGAAACGAAAATTTAGTGCTGCAAGTTAGTCTTACGAAAATTCACCGTAAAATAGAATGCATTGAATGCTGAATTCCACAAAGAAGACATTTGCTTTTACGGCATAACCCTACCTGAATACACGAACACATATCACCTGTCACATATTCTACGCATCTGGAAGGAGCCTTGGGCAAGCTTGATTATTGGCACTACATCAATTGAATTCGTTCGCTCCAAGACCTCAGCTGGGGTTGCTGTTAGATTAATGTGCCGTACTGAATTTTTGTTATTGCCCTGAGTCCTGTTATGAAATAAATGAACTCGGGCCTGTTCGTCTAGCTGATCTGGGTGCGCTGGGGGACGGTCAAGTCGTGCGTCCGAGGGCGCGCGCGACAAATGGCGCGGCGAAGTTCGTATCTATTCTGGCGGCTTTAGCGCCGATTATTTGGGCCCAATTTCGAAGTACAGTAGAACAGTAGGATCAGCTGACCTTACTAATCTACCCTACTTCAGATTTGGGCCCCAATGATAAACGCCGCAGTCATCCAAATTCGCCACGAACTTCGCCGCGCAAT